GACATCTCCTGTAAATGGTCAAAAGAAAGTGTACCAAGGAGATTACTTTACTGTCCAGTTGACTTCTATAGAATTTCTTTTATTTTCCTTGAATAGATGAAGTAGTAGACAACATGCCCAGTCCCATCCAGTCCTCCTACAGGCAAGGTGAGTCTAGAGAGAATGAGAAATAGCACAGACCAAATACTGTCTAATGAGAATTATATAGATGTCAGAGGAACCATTGGTTTGCTCCATATGCTTTTTTATTATAATTACTTCCTGATTCTTTTGCACTCTGGTTTGCAGGTTCAAACATATCACTTAATGTGTTACACGTTTGTCCTTCTCAGAGGGCTTTGCAGTAGTGTGCTTTTTTAACATGTAAGAGATTACAAAAATGGTTTTCTGTAATATTTTCTCACCTGTCGCTCCTTTCTTTCTGTTTTGTCCTAAGGCAGCTTAAGGCCAACTTCATTATCTGTACTGTGGGTGGTGTCCCTTCTCATTACGTGCCATGGAATGTGTGTATGACCCCGAGGAGACTAGACATATAGATTCCATTTATTCCCAAGCAGCATACTAATGTAAAGCTATGAATGCACATAAAGAGCAATGAAGGAGAGAGACTAAAGTTCTAGGCTACAAAGAGATTTAGACAAACTGGAAGTGTTATCTATAGACACTATGCATCTTATTCTCTTTGTCCAGAAATTGATCATGATCACTTAACTTGTATTACTAAATTATTTGTCATTATCAATTCTCTGATTAAAAGCTTAAATCAACCTGGTTTTCTATAAGTTTAATTGCTTGTTCCTAGAAAGCACTTATAACCAAATCATTGAAGCAGTTAATCTGCTGAGGAGTGGGTGTTTTTTATTTAGAATGAAAGACAGCAAATGATAAGTAAATATCCAATGACACAATGTCTCTGTTGTCTGTACTGTCCTAACTTGCCAAAAAAATAATGGCTTAAGGTATCTCTTCTCCATCTCGGCTTCTGATGAAAACCTAGTACACACTGAACACAGGAATGGAACTGGGTCAGAGCAAAGGCCTAACCAGTGAGCTTTCCTTTGGCAGAGATGAGCAGTAGAAGGCTAAGGAAGAGTTTCAAATGGGGGATTGCAATATTTCCAGAGTAAGGAATCCCTGAAGCTTCCAACAGCTCAGAAACAACACACTGGAGCAGGCCCTGTTACAGTACCTGCATTTTTAATAACATTTGATGTGCTTCCTTTCATGAATTTGCCTTATTTGACTCCTTGAATGCATACTGACTTTTTAATCTCCACTATATTGTGCCAGTCAGATTCAGATGTTAAATAAATATTGCATGAAAAGAACCTCACAAAAAGTACCTAAAAAAATATTTTCATTTGAAAGATACAAGCATAAAAGTCAAACTGTCCCAGGACTTAAATCTGTGTGGGATTTTAACTAAACTCTGGCATTTGTTTGAAATTTGAAATTTGTTTGAATTTGAAAAATTTTCATGATGTCAAAATTAAGAATCTTCTCCCATCTGGTCCACTGTGTAGAAATGTTTTTGATACAAAGTCGAGAATTAGTGAAACACTGCGTTTTCACCTAGGCAGCTCTGCAGACCAATTTGTGCACTCTAACATAATGTAAAGGAGTGACTGCTTGGTGACCCACTCAACCTATATCATTTAAATGATAGCAGAATAGGGTAGCTCATGTTAGACACGTTAGACACTACTGCTCTTAGCGCACAGTCATCATGCCATAACATGAATTCAGGCATAATATGAATTCATTAGCAGTAGACGATTTCTAGTAGTTGTCAACATACACTAGCTCCAATTACCTGAAATTAACTCTAAAACGTGCTATTTCAGAAGAGCGTTGCCCCGCCCTGCTCGGCCCCCTTGCGCCCGCGCAGGCGCTGCGGCCCCGCGGGGTCCCGGCGCTGGTGCGCGGCCATGGGCGGCTCTTGTGCGGTGCCGCCGCTGCCTCTGCTGTCGCTGCCTCTGCTGCTGATGATGCTGCTGCTGCCTCTGCTGCTGC